TATTCTGTTTCAGGCTTTCATGGTGCGTGTGATGTGTGCGTGCGCCTTTGGACTTCACTTGCTCATCTTTCTCTATCCCCCCTTCTCATATTAACAATTGCTCACCAATTCATTCAGTCGCATTGTTTTGCCAGCGTCACTTCGAACCAATAATTTTGTCAGTTCATGGTTATAGAAGTAATAATAAAACCAATGCGCAGAAGTTGAGGACAAATATTTCTGGGTCCTTTCTGAGTTCTATGTACTTGTATCTTGACTTACCCTGACTTGTTGCATAGCAAATTTAAAAATCATATCAAGTAGTTGTTCAATTCATGGGCTATTTGTATCTGACCAGTCAGATCAAATTACATTGATTCCATGTAACTGTAGTTTGACATGTCTATAATTCCTTGTGACTCCTGAGCGAAGGCTGGACTTTTCTATATTAGTGGTAAATTTGGATAAAAGTAAACCACTGTTTTCCTTGTTCCTCATTGAAGGTGGACTCGATGAACCCATTCAGCGACCTTATGTTGAGAGAGATTGGCGGTTTGGCCACTATGAGATGGATGGCCTACAGGATCCTTTGAGCGCTTCTCAAGATTCATCATCCGCCATTCCCCCTGAAAAGAAAAGGAAACCTCAGAGAGAAGAGCGACACATTAGTTCTTCAGCCTCTTGAAGGTAGATTTTAATATTCTGCCACATATCTAAAACTTAGGTCTCATAATGAGCACTTTGTCCAAGGCAAGAGTTCAAGTGTATCGTCCATTACTCCATCTGTTTGTCGTTGTGTTCAATTTAGAGCTTCTATCATTATGGTGTTTAACACCAAATACTAGATATATGCTCAACAAAGAAGTCATTTACTGCATAATATAAGTGTAGAAGGGTCTACTTTACCTTACAAACCAATGCAGACCCTGCATTTCTCTTTGCTTAGTAGCCAGATATTAGGTCCTAAGCACTCTCAATCCTCGTTCATCACGATTGGTAGAATACCTGTTTTCTCAAATTTGATTGCGCTGAACACATGGAGAATCTCATATCATACTGCTCAAGTTTATTTCTAATTGTAATTTGTGCAGCCAATGAATTCAACTTTTTGAGAGGCAAACCTTCACAGCAGAAGAATAATCTGCGGTAATTGGATAAAGGCAAGAGAATTTCTCGCTTCTAGTTTGGTTTCATCATCCAAGTTCCAACTATATGAGACATAAATGTTCATCCCCCGGGAACTCTTAATGCTTTTGAAGCAGTCTGTTCATATATGCTCCCTGCGATGACTTATTAGATGCCATAACTTGCTATGCTGTTTTTAGTTTTGCATCGCTTGTGACAATTCTTTTCCTTGGTACTATGTGAATAATATTCTCTGGAGGCATCAAATGATCTATTAAAAAAAAAATGCTTACTTTCTTATCATCTACACTGCATGAACTGGAATCTCAGCCGAGTAATCTCTGGCCTAGTTGCTTAGCGCCTGCAAAGGTATAAAGCATCAACACAAACCGCAGTCATGCCATGCGAGTCTGGGTTGGCGGCTGTTGTTTCAATAGACGATTTGTGTTATAAAAAGTGTTATTTTCAGAATGATTAAATAATAAAACCTATTCCATTCCAGAAATGTGCCACTGTCTTCGTTTCTGTTACAAGATTTTTTTCCCCCAGATGAAAGTTTGTTTGAATGGAGTTTCGAGAGCTCGTCAACGAATAAAAATTGAGGTGAAGTATGAATTGTATTATTACAAGCGCACTAACTTTTGTTGCTGTTAAATTAACATAATGGTTTGGGAGAATTTTAGATGCGACATAATAATAATAAATTTTATTAAAATATGAAATTTTATGCCTCGTTTGGTATCCTGAAAATGTTTTTGATAGAAAAAAAAATAAAAATAGAAATAAATATGAAAATAAAAATAAAGGTAGAAAGTTGAGTTTAAAAGTATATTTGGTATGTACAGGGAATTATGAATACTTTTTTATTTAATTATTGCATTTATATAATTAATATACTAAAATACCCCTGTTAATTTTTTAATTATAATATACTTTTATTTAATATATACATTTATATAATCAATTTACTAAAATATCTTTATCTATTTTTTAAATTATGATATATTTTTTTATTTAATATGTGCATCTAGATAATCAATTTACTAAAATACCTCTGTCAATTTTTTAATTATGATATATTTAAATATGCACTTATATAATCAATTTACTAAAATACCCCTATCTATTTTTGAAATTATGATATATTTTTTAATTAATATATGCATTTATATAATCAATTTATTAAACTACCCCTATCTAATTTTTTAATTATGATATACTTTTTATTTAATATGTGCATCTGTATAATCAATTTACTAAAATACCCCTGTCATTTTTTAATTATGATATATTTTTATTTAATATATGCACTTATATAATCAATTTACTAAAATACCCATATATTTTTTAAAATTAAGATATATTTTTTTTTAATATATGCATCTATATAATTAATTTACTAAAATACCCCTACCAATTTTTTTACATTATGATATATTTTTTATTTAATATATGCATATTTACTAAAAAAACTTTTGATTTACTTCAATGATTGATGAAGGGGCAAATCTATCAAATAATTTTGTAACTGAGGTTATTTTTGTCCAAAAAAATTCACTTCCATGGAACCCATCTCATTTCCATGGATCTTATTATGAAATTCAATTTCACCTATTTTGATGGATTTCATTTCCACATGGAATCCATTTCATGCATACCAAATAAAAAAAAATGTGAATTGCAATTCCATTTTCATTTCTATGTCTCCATTTCTAGTGTACCAAACGGGGCATTAGTTTAGTTTAGAAAGATTGAAATAAAATTAATCTTCAGAAAGATTGAAATGAAATTAATCTAAATAATGAAAGGATCAAAATAACTTTTTTTTAAATATTAAAAAAATAATGGTAATGTCCATATTTAATGTTAGGAAATTAACAATTAAAATTATTTTATAAGTTACTTGTTGATTAGTTTATCTAAATTTATGAAACAACATCAGTTATTAATTTTTTTTAATTTTACTTCTTAATTTCTTAATATTAGTTGTAAATTACTTTCTTGACACTCCTTGATTTGTTCAATTAATTTATCTTGACTTTATGAAACAATATGAGTTGTTAATATCGCAACTTTACTTATTAATTCTTCAATATTATGGTTAAATTACTTACTTGACTTGTTAGTCCGTGAGAAAATGAGAAGACTTGTTTAATGAATTATCTGAATTTAAGAAGTAACTTTGTTGTTAATTTCCTAATTTTAATTGTTAATTTTCTAACATTATATGTAAATCCGACCACTATTTTTTAATGTTTAAATTTGTAACATCCCAATTAAATTTTAATAGTTAATTTGGGTTAATAAAAATTTAAAAAAATATTTAAAGGTAAGCAATTAGTAGAAAATAATTAGTAAATCTAACTTAGGATATCATATAAATTAAAATAAAAAAAATTAATTAAAAAATATTATTAAATATTATTATTATAATAAAAAAAGGGAAAAGGTAAAAAAAAGAAGAAAAAGAAGAGAAGGAATGGATGCTTTCAGCTTTTCCTCGTGCCATTATTACATATATATATATA